GTATCGAAAACAAAATAAGGGGTATCGCCCATCCCTATTATTTACATCAGCGCTTGGATTACAACATCACATGTCTGCACGTTAAACGTGACTTTACTCCAATAGAGGATGATCAATAACGCTACAGCAAATGTATTATTGCACTGATTGACTATTAGCTGCGAGCAGACAGTGTCAACAATATATTGGGAAAAAAAGTTGCTTGTCAGGTTTTCCTAGTAAGCAACCATATTTTTAAAAATAAGCCCAAAAAACCTGCAACCCGCGACCCGTGATTTTTTTTAACGCGACTTCACAATAAAAGAAGCCCAAAATTGCGTAAAATACGCGGACTTGGCAACTGTGTTTGACAGCGGCATCTCGAACGGATGTCAGACTCAGAAAGAGAAGAGTGTGTGACAAATATCTAGTCAAGTCTCGAGTCTTTAGTCTCCAACCTAAAATACAGCGATGTTAAATCATACCTTAAAACTGTTCAAATTGTTGGTTTTCATAAGCCTGTGTTATACTACTGAATTAAAACAAGACTGAATTTGAAAATACATGGATAATGCATATTTTCCTTTTCATGCTTTATTTTTCTGTGTTGAAGTCCCTTTGATTTGTTCACTGCTCACATAAAAGAATAGTTGAGATTCTGAAAAACTGATGTAGTGTTAAATTTCTCTAAATCTGTTCCAACGAACAAACAACCGTATCTACATCTTGGGATAGCCTGAGGTGAGTTCATTTTCAGCATAATAATTTTTTAGCAGGAGGGGACCAATAAATATATTTGAATATTATGAGTCCTTGTAACACAGATCATTTTAACAAATTTGTTCAAAAACTTGACCCAAAACACAGAAGCACCATTAAAGGCGGTGAAAGTGATCATGACAAAGTTTATTTGTTTAAAACCAAACAAACACAATTATACTAATAAAGCTTTTTTCCCCCTTAAGAATAAATAGATCTGGAATCAAATTGGCCTAGGGCTATACCAGAGTGAGATAGACATTTTAATAAAATGTGAAAAAATTACAAATAATTCAGGTAGGATTAACTAATAGTAAATAGTTAAAACAACTGAAGTTCATTCTTTTCCTCTTCATACATCCTCCAGTTATTACATGTCGTCTTTGCAGTTGCACCAAAAGACTCAGAAAAACAGAGCAGCTCAGCAGCTTCAGTTAACCTCAGGTAGTTCAAGTTTAGACCTGGGGAGCAACCGGGAAAGATGAGTGAAAATTACAATGCTGCACTTAAGAGATTCTTAACACTACATAATAATAACAACAATAAAGGCCATATTATATAAGCCCCTTAATTATTCTCAAGCAATCAGAACTCACTTGATGTCTTCTGTACATTTGTCTCCACAGAACTCAATGGTCACTCTCTGGTTGCAGCTGAGCTCCTCGATCTGCTTGGTGTGACGAGTGCAGCGGTCAGAGGATTTACTGCATCTGAACCTTCACACAGACACAGAACAGCAGCACACATTCAATACAGCATAA